TGCACTTTTTCAACATCCGAACCTCCAAAAGTGGCGCGAACATGTGGTGTTTTGTACATTTTGACTTGGAAATGTGCTTCGCGCCACAACGGCGTGCACTTTTCAACATCCGAACCTCCAAAAGTGGCGCGAACATGTAGTGTTTTGTACATTTTGACTTGGAAATGTGCTTCGCGCCACAACGGCGTGCACTTTTTCAACATCTCAACTTCCAAAAGCGGTCCGGCGCTGAGATGTTTTGTACCTTTTCACTTCGAAATCGGCTTCGCGCCACAACGGCGTGCAACTTTTCAACATCTCAACTTCCAAAAGTGGTCCGAACCCCTGGTGTTTTGTACATTTTGACTTGGAAATGTGCTTCGCGCCACAACGGCGTGCCATTTTTCATCTCTCATCTGGCCAGCTGGCTCCGCACCCGCCGCTTTAGCGAGCCTACTTTTCGACCCTCCGGAGCCCCAAATCATGGAAAAACACAGTGTTTCGCGACTTTCCTACCTTTTCGCGCATCTGCATCTTCTTTCTTCTGACTCTTTCTCTTCTACTCTTCTCTCTTCTAATCTTTCTCTTCTCTCTGCCTCTGCCCTGCTCTGCTTTTCATCTGTCCATATTGTCGGAAGTTTGACTTCTAAACTTCCTTCGATAAACAAATAAATGAATAAATAAATACACACACACACACACCCGCACACACACACACAGATATATATATATATATATATTCCATGTGATACACCTCGAGAGGCGGTTCAATGTTGCTTAGGTCACTTCTTGTAGCGTATTGTTCGTTTGCAACAGATGCATCCAAAAAACGATTTTCCACAAGAGCCATTGTTTTCTGGGTGAATTGAACCATAATGTTATGATCCTTCCCCCACACATTCCAGGAGATGACTGAACTCATCTATCACAGCACAGCAGACTTGTGTCTCCGCAAGATGTGTTGCATGCAAGGGACCCTCAAGGCTGGGATTAAGCCCAGCAATTAGATTCCTCAAATCTTCAAATGGTCATTGGATGGTCATTGGATCATTTTATCGGTAGCCATCCCATGATCATCATGATCCCAATCATTTCCCCCTTTCATGTTTGGAATTGCTTGGGTGTCAACAAGTGACCATTCCCTGCATGTCATGACCCTCCATTTTTTTGGGGACATTCTTCGACAAATCCTTGAATGTTGGATAATGTCGGTTTGAGTAGCTATACCCTCCACAAGCGCCCTTGGGATGTGTCCAGTGGTTGAGCAGTTGGGCAGAGAATGCCCCACACATGTTCCAGCCGCAGTCGTTCTCTCATTTTCTTTCTTCCTTTGCCTGTGCTCCTTCCCTTCCCTTGCCTTGCCTTGCCTTCCCTTCCCTTCCCTTCCCTTCCTGCCTTCCTTCCCTCTCCTTCCTTCCTTCCTTCCTCCCTTCCTTCCGTCCGTCCGTCCGTCCGTCCTTCCTGCCTGCCTGCCTTCCTTCCTTCTTTCCTTCCTTCCTTCCTTCCTTCCTTCCTTCCTTCCTTCTCTCTCTCTCTCTCTTCAGCTGTGCCTGCCTTTTTCTCGAAAAGTGGAAGTCATTTCAGTGATGAAATGTTGGCATCAAAATAAAGATAGCTTCAGAACCCTTCAGAGGTCCCGTTGCTAATGCAACTGCATTGTTTGCGAGAGCCAATCCATGCAGACATGCTGCAGCCCAGGTCTTCCTATTGTGAACACAACTCTCTAGACCAAGCCTGGTGGCATGGCAGCAACGTTGTTTGTTGTGCATTTCCTGATGCAGCTCATTCGCTATTTTGATGGCTCCCACTACGAAGTGGCCATTTGGTACAGGGATTAGACCCATGGGGAGGTTGATGCCAGACAGATATTGTTGTGCATCATGCTTTGTTGAAGGCTTGATGCCTCAACAGTCTTGATTGGAAGTGTTGAGTAGAGTAGAGAAGGGTCGAGTAGAGTAGAGTATAGGATCGCCATTCCATTTGTCACAACAGCACGTTATCATTTAGAACGACGCATTTCGTGTTGAAGAGAGGATTGGCACACCCCAGGTCAGATGGTTGACAAGATATGTTTTGGAATTTGGTGGGTGGATTTGTTTTGTGTGATTTTCGTCGACCTCTTTTCTTGGTAAAACTTGGGTGGGTATATAATTTAATACGTTCGTCCTTGGTTATTATAGCTGGAAGAAGGAAACACCCAGCTGAAATTCAATCCTTTACAGGGTAGCTACCACCGGCCACATTCTGGCAATCCACGAGCAAAACTCCACATCACAAGGAAGATTTGGAGCAGTTCGGATGCGGTTTGGTCGCTTCTGCTGTGGCTTTTGCTGGTCGTGATGCGCACCGGCATCATCCTGCAGCACAGGGCACTGGGCTCCTCAGGAGTGGCTGGGGCAGCCCTGTTCAGACCTGGCGTTTCAATGACTTCTCACAAATCATCTCCAAGCAGGACCGGTTAAAACATGTTAAAACTATTGGCCCATAACAAACCCCTAAAAATGTGTGGTTTGATGCTCAACATCTAGCGCGCCGTGCCGACATTGCAGTTCTGCGGGGACGCGACAAAACTTTGGAAACTTGAAACTTCAGGTTTTTGACATGCATTGTAGGATATGTGTCTGACTTCCTCGACAGTCCGCCAGCTGTGATGTGGAGCCTGGCGGTGCGGGCCTTGTGTTTCCTCGTCAGCAGCTCTGTGCTGGTGGTGGCAAGTTTTTGGCAGCTGCGGACCTCACATGCCATGCTGTTGAACCTTGGCCCAGCGGTTTTCTGTTGGACTATAATCACTATAATCCTGGTTATATAACAACTATGAATACCGTAGACATATTTATAATCACCATATATTCATAAACCCATCTACTGTAGTTATAAACCAACATAGCTACCTTATGCACCACCTTGTATCATAGGCATGTAATTACGTAGGTCAATTGACCATATTGCCAATTGTACGGCTCTCAAAAGCTCAGTGTTTGTGGTTTGGCTTCCTGTTTACCCTTTAATCTTTCTACTTTGCCTTAGGCAACTCTTTCCCCAGGTTTTTGGTGACACGTATTTCTACAACCGTGTAGGCGTTGAGATTTTTGTTGTCACCGCACATGGACAGTATAGGTGGGGGGAGGGTGGGGTGGGGTGGGCTAATCACGTCCATGTACGCTTGCGGAACTACGTCATGCTACGTTGATGTACGTTCGTGCACGCTTGCACATCTACGCAGTGCTACGTTGATGTAACGTTCTTGCACGATTGCACGCTTGCTACGTTGTGAAGTCGGTGGTCCACATGCGTAGTGAATGGACTTGGAAGGTGCGAGTGCGAGGAAAGACGAAAGTTGCAGGAACCCAACAGATTGATCGTTGTTGGAACCACCTCAAAAAATTGCCCCAGTCAGACGAAGAACCGCACTGGCCCAACCATCAATGCTAGATTCTGGGATAGAATCTATCAGTGGATCTATCGCCACAACATGTCTAAGTGAGACATGACGACCACATGCGAGATGAAAAAAAGGCTCCTGAAACTTTTCGTCGTCTGATGTAGAAATTGGGTCATTGAAAAAATGACAACATGTGAGGCGTTTTGGCACATGGATGTCAAAAACACACGGTTGTGTAAATCCGTGTTGCCACGTTTTTAGCTTGGTTTCCTGCACAAAAACCAGTAGAACATGATGGGGTAAAAGCCACCATCAACTCCCCTGGGCTCAGTGAATCCCACGGTTGATCAGCTTCGCGGGCCGTTTTCTGGCAACGGGAAACTCGATTGAGAAGCACTTAGCCAGCGCAAGATTTTTGTGGGGCACGGTCTCCGAATGTCTCTGAGTTTGGACATGGTCTTCGATGTCGCACCAAGGATCGTCAATGCGTGGAGTGCTTCGTTCCTGGGAGGCCACATGAGCTGCTCCGAGGCCAAACACGAGTGGAGACGCGTGCCTTGACAGTGCGGGTGGAAGGGACTGGGGTGCGAAAAGATCCACCGCTTTTTCCATGCGAAGAGCGCTCAAAAAAAGGTGGATCATTGCGTCCTCTATATAGAGGTTTCCAAGATTTTGATCCTGGACAGCCTGGAATTATATATAACATGAATAAAACAATGGAAACTCAAGGCATGTCTTGAAGATGTTGATAACGCTTTTTTTGGCTTCCAAAAACAACCACAGCCCACATTGAAACTGACCAAGTGCAGGGATCATTGTATCACAGACAGGATTGCTGAGAAAAGATAGAACACTGAGAACTCTGACAGAAATAATGATAAAGTCATTTCTTTTTTTTGTCATATAGAATAGGTTCCAAGTCGGGTGAGAAGGACACAATTGCCGATTGGCTCAAGACTCATGTCCTTCAGCTGCCCCACCTGAAAACTGGGGTCCACTTCCGTTGTTTCAAAAACACAAATGGCATCTGGCAGTAAAACCAGGCAATGGAAACTTGCGCATGTATATCTACTGATAATTGCCCCCTCGAATTATTTCCCATGTGAAGCTACACCTTTCGAATCCTTTCGACATTTACCATCCATTCTTCACCAAACCTTGCCTGTGGGACGATGTGGCCAGTGTGGTGGGGCAAATCTTCTGAGAAACCCTGGGAAAAAATCAACCAGCTTGGTCTCTCCAATAACTTGCACCTCTGAGTAGGGGGGTAGTTCTAGCCACCGTCTTTAGGCTTGATTTTGTGGAAAGAACGGCATATTGTGAAATGTTGTCTGGAACCATGGTGTTTTTTTGGACAGGTCAGCGGCCTCTTCCGCAAGACGTCACGCACCTTTGAGCGTTGCTTTGCTGCCCTGGGTGGAACGAGCCTTGGCGCCATGTTCTTTCCCATGTGGATCCAGTTGGAGATGTTGGAGCTATGAAGTTTCCATATGAAACGGAATGGGGTCCGCCAAAACGGGGTTTATCATTTGGGTTTACCACATTTGGTCATCTAGACAATCTAGACTTGAGGAATGGCAATGGATTTTCCCCAGCCAGCTTTAGCCTGCGAGACCACTTAGGATTGTCATCATTATCTTGCAACTTGCGTGCACTTTTCATCTGGGGAGGGGTTGTTGGATTGGGGGAGGTGATGTTAAAAAAAATGGGGTCGTAGCCAAGGCAAGAAAAGATGGTCAACCATTCGGCATGCCAAGAAGAAACCACGACATATCCACAGCCCTTACCCTCTGGTAATTCTACCTTTTTTTGAGGATAACTGTATCTATCTATATCTATATATCTATTTGCCTGTCCATCCATCCGTCCCTCCATCCATCACTATCTATCTATCTATCTATCTTTCTATCTATCTTATCTATCTATCTTATTTATCTATCTTATTTATCTATCTTATTTATCTATCTTATTTATCTATCTTATTTATCTATCTTATTTATCTATCTTATTTATCTATCTTTTTTATCTATCTTTTTTATCTATCTTATTTATCTATCTTATTTATCTAT